AACAATCATATGACAACCAAAACCTCATAACAGAGGGGAAAAACAAAGGGAATACCCTCAAGGTAGACCAAAACTGTGTGTCTGAGCCTTGTAGCGAGAGACCCTGTTATGTTAGAGTAGCTACACATCCTTCCGTCCCTCTATGTCACTGGATATCGCATGATGTTTACCTACATGCCACAGTTGGGTTAGAGTAAAGGAGTGTCAGGTCTCTGTATTGTCGTTCGGTCAACTTGGCTCTTACCAATTGGGGAAACAGGGAGGGTATTACCTAGTAAACAGTAAGTAGTGTAGGGTCTCGCCCGAGAATCGGGAAAGGCCATTTTGCAGGCGGGTATAACGGGATTAACAGGGAAGAAGGACGAAACAGGGAGGAGTGGTTGGGAAGAGTGGGAGTTAGTGAGCGAAGAGATGAGATAAAGAAAGGGAAGAGGGGAGGGATAAGGGAAGTAAGCGTCGAGAAGGAAGAAAGGTCCCATCCAACCTCCCCTGACGGAGAAGAGGAGGAAGAATGGAGAGAAGGGAGGAATGGATATACAGAAGTTGGGGTAAAGGGGTAGAAGAAGAAGGGTGTAGTCACCGTTGGAGAGCAGCGTACGTCGCTGAGTCCTTGAATAGGTGCCATATCGTTCATGTTTTGAGATATCTGGTCATGTCATCTCTGCTGGAGTAAATAAGTTCTTCTATGGTTGATACGGTATGCACTCGAGAGAGCCATTCACTGATGGTTGGTGGATCTGGTGATTCCCAATGTCTAGGAATTACGGTTTTTGCAGCGTTAAGCAGATGGATTGTGAGGGATTTTTTGGAGATGCGGAGTGATTCCTCAAAATGATATAGTAGAAGGCATGCTGGGGAAAATTCTATCTCAGAACCAGTTATGGTTCTAAGGATGGTATGGACCTCTTTCCAGAAAGGGTAGATTAGCGGGCATGTCCACCAGATATGGAGGAGTGTGCCTATGTCTTGGTTGCATCGCCAACATGTTTCGGGGACATTCGGGTATATACGGTGAAGTAGGGCAGGGGTCTTATACCAACGCGAGTGGAGTTTGTAGTTGGTCTCCTGGATTTGAATGTTCATGGAGCCTCCTAATAACAGAGTCCATGCGTTTCCAGTCTTGCATGAAAAGGGTAGTGGATAAATCGCGTTCCCACGCCTTCGTAGAAGGCGTTGGTGGGAGAGTATCTGAGTCGTTCAGAAGAGAGTAGATCTCGGAGATTGTATGTGTTACTCTCTGAGTAGAAGTGCAAAGCTTCTCAAAAGGAGTTATGTAACACTTTTTTTTATACTAAAACATTTTTATCTTGTCCAGTAGGAGACACAGAATTATTAGACAACTGAATTATACTGATGTCTATAGAAGGATTGAAAAAAACCATATCAGGAGGGGTGTGGATGTTTTTAAAAAACTACTTGTCCAAGGGAAAAGTGGGGGCCCAATCTACTTGTCCGGATACAAAAAAACAATAAAAAAATAAAAAAAAAGGATTTACCACAGCCACTGAGACCAAAGGATCATAAACTGATGGAAGCCTATCAGGCATAGGCAAGGGAGGAGGTGGGTGAAGGAGGGGGGAGTCCTCCAAGGGCCGCTGGCAGGATTGCCTCCCAGACAAGATTGTGTTCCGCCAGGGCCGGTGCAAGGATTTTTGCCTACACAGGTGAAGGTGCATTTTTTCGCACTGAGACCTGGGGAGAGAGAGCTGGAGACAGAAAGGAAGGAGAGAGTGAGTGTAAGTGCCTTTTCCACCCCCCAAGGTAAACAAAACTTTAACCCTGCTGCTTGCCTGCAGTGGGGCTAAGTGTATATAAAAAACCCACCTGCCTGGTGCCGAAAACTGTCCTGGGCGTCGGGCAATATGAATTGCACATCCCTGGTGTCAGCACTATGGGGTTTAACTCCTCCCACAAACAGCATTTTTTTTTTTTTTTTTGCTAGTGGATGGATGTCTTTCTTAGCTCTGCTGACATCCTTCCTTTGCGTGGATCTCTTCATTCAACAGTAGCTGGTTGTTTCAGACCAGACCTTGCTTCTCTGGGTTTCTCAACAATGCAGCCACCGAGTGCAGTTTTTTCAGAGTTAGCTTGCTTGTGAATTCGGCTGCTACAGCCCTGCCAAAGTGTGGCTCCATATGGTGATCCTACCATCTGGCTGCTGGGTCTTGCTTCATAGTACATCCCTGGTCTAAATGGTCTGTCACTGCGAGATCCTCCGGATCTGGAGCCGTGGCAATGCTTTGCTTGACCCGTTTGCCAAAAACTCACTTTTCTATGAGAGCAGGCTATGTAGGCCAGGCATATTAAGTCAGGAGTGCTGACCCTCTCTCCGACTGAATCTCTTCCAGTCACAGAGTGAGAATATCTCCACAGAGGACTTACATGCCACTGCTATTACTCCAAAACAGAAGGAACTTGTGTATTTTCTGCTGCAGTGCACACAATACTGCTACTTGCTAATTGCCAGGCCTGGGCTTTTACAATACATACTAATCTGCCCAGGTTTTGTCTTAGCCTTGTTTGATGATTTCCTCTAAAGGGACTGGAAACATCCTAAAAGGCTGCTGCTCCCGCCAAAGTGTTTTATTGCTCTCTACTAGGCATGTCCCGATGCCACTTTTTCAGGCCCAAGTACAAGTACATCCCCTCATGTACTTGCTGATACCAATTACCGATACTTTTACTTAAAGGGGCAGGTGACTTTAAATGATCCATAGTACAGAGCTACATATCATGGACTACGGATCATTTAACCCATTCATGTTAGCAGGGGATCATTGTAAATCTATTGTTCAGTGCATTATATATGTAGTATATAGTACATGTACATATAGAGTGCCTGCCACAATACATTTACAATTATCCTCTGCTAACATGAATGGGTTAAATGACAGTACATGATATGTAGCTCTGTACTATGGATCATGATTTAACCTATTCATGTTAGCAGGGGATCATTGTAAATCTATTGTTCAGTGCATTATATATGTAGTATATAGTACATGTACATATAGAGTGCCTGCCACAATACATTTACAATTATCCTCTGCTAACATGAATGGGTTAAATGACAGTACATGATATGTAGCTCTGTACTATGGATCATGATTTAACCTATTCATGTTAGCAGGGGATCATTGTAAATCTATTGTTCAGTGCATTATATATGTAGTATATAGTACATGTACATATAGAGTGCCTGCCACAATACATTTACAATTATCCTCTGCTAACATGAATGGGTTAAATGATCCATAGTACAATGCTACATATCATGTACTGTCATTTAACCCATTCATATTAGCAGGGGATAATTGTAAATCTATTGTTCAGTGCATTATATATGTAGTATATAGTACATGTACATATAGAGTGCCTGCAACAATACATTTACAATGATCCTCTGCTAACATGAATGGGTTAAATGATCCATAGTACAGGGCTACATACAGATCATTTAATACATTCATGTTAGTATAATTGTAAATGTATTGTCTGCACTGTATTAGCAGTATATACTCCATATAGAGTATATACTGCTAATACAGTGCAGACAATACATAATTGGTTACTGTAATAAATCCCCCCAAATCTCCCCTCACTTACTGTGATTCACTGTGCCGGAGCAGGGACGAGTCAGCGGCGCGCTGGTCCAGTGGGAGGAGCTCCAGGTGGGGTCCTAATTTAGCTGGCTTAGAGGTGCCTGCCCGATAATTACAACCCCACCTGGAGCTCCTCTCGTCTGACCAGCGCGCCGCTGACACATCCCTGCTCCCCTGCTGTACTGGCGCTGCGGGATTTTTTTTTTTTTCTTCTTACTTACCTCGCCGAGCGTCGCGTCACTGCTGCTCCGGTGGGCGGCACTCCGAGCGGGGTCATCTGGCAGTCTCCGGCCACCTAAAGTAGGACCCGGAGACTGCCAGATGACCCCGCTCGGAGCGCCGCCCACCGGAGCAGCAGTGACGCGACGCTCGGCAAGGTAAGTAAGAAGAAGGAAAAAAAACAGCGCAAGCTTCGGTGCTAGGCATCGGGGCATTTTGACAAGTACAAGTACATCGGTATCGGGACATCCCTACTCTCTACCCTTTGGTGAGGGATTTTCTTTGGAAGTGGGATACACATCCAACGGTAGACCTTACAGTCTCTCACCTCAACAGGGTGACTACCTTTCTGGTGGAAGATGCTCATTTATTCAAGGACCTCACTGACAAACACCTTGTGGCCTTATAGGGATCTGTGTTTGCATTTTCCAGCCCGCGTTTATACTGTGCTATGTGAACAAACTCTTAATTTGACATTGCAAGAATCATCTGGCTGAACTTCATGTGAGACACAGCACTGGATACCAATCCCTTGCTTTTGTTCATCAGCCTTATATCAGTACATTTGGCTAAAATGTTTGATGGTGGAGCAGGCTTCTAAAAAGGTCCTTCTGCATATGCCTTGTGTGAACAATCCCCTCTTTGGTGCTTTATTGGACAAACTCAAGAATATAGGTAAAAAATACTCATCTCTTGCAGACCCGAAAATATCAGATTATAAGGAGATGCCATCTTCGCTACTTTATTTTTTTATTTACAACCTTCCAGTGTCCCTGCCATACCTCACAGATCTTACTGTGCTCAGCAAAATCTCTTGAAGCAAGAGATTATTGCTGTGGTCCCACTCTCCAGCACTTCCAAGATTTTTATTGTAGCCCAATTCCATCTAAAGGCCCAGTTGGAGTGTGAGATACTTTCTTTGTGGCCATCTTCTTTGCCATTAGTATTTATTCCTCTAGTTTTTTCATTTCATACAGTTTACCTGATACATTTTAAGGCAGACTTACTACTTTCCAACTGACATACTTAATCTGGTTTCCAGTTTTTTTTTGTAATGCTTACTGTTTGATATAAAATATAATACAATGTTATGCATCTCTGTAATACAATGTTATGCATTTCTGTAAAGGACTTGTAGATTTTCTTCATATTTTAAATATTTACTGTGTAATATTATAGGAAAGAAGATATCTGACACTGCAACAGGCTAGAGAGAAGAGTTTCCATATTGACTGGCTTTCCCATCCTGTTCCAGGTACAATTGTTTTGGGTTTGGTAGTTTTAAAGTAGTATTAAATGCTCAAACTTTTTTTTAAGAATTAATCCAGATCAAAGAAATATGCATTGCCCAGCAAAGTACTTCTTTTGCTTTTTGGCTCCGACTCTCTCCACTCGCCTTCCTTGAACTTCCTGTCCAGTACAAGAACACAAAACACAGCACAGTCTCTAGCAGCTGTACATATACTAGCTTTGAGAAGAAACAAGGGAGGAGCGGGCTGGGGAGTATATTATCTTGCTGTGCCTGTGTGTTTGTGGGGATACACACAGCTTACAAGCACGAACAAGGGTGGCTCAATAGGACTGTGCAAGGGAAAGGAGCCACCCGAAAACAGGATATAAGGGCCAGTGCTCAGGGGCCAGGTGACTGTGCAGAAAACTAAAACTTTAAACATCGAGAAGTGGAATCCCCTCTGGTATACTTTCTTTCTGGGTCCCCCCCCCCTCCTTTCTTTTCCTCTTTCATCTCTGCTTTCTCTTCCTTTGGGTCCTCACACAACCCCTACTTACAGTAAGTTTATATCTGTCGACCCACCTGGCGTGGAGTCTGTGGGAGTACAATAGTTCAACCGATGTATATGATGGGCGGATGTATGGACTGCTCCCCAGGACTTAACGGGGTAACGCCTGCCGAGGCTGGCTGGCACCTATCACACCAGTGTCCTTGCAGATCACTGAGCGTCCAATATGGACTCCCACGGGGTCTCCAATGGTTGAAACTTGACTAGTCAACAGACTAGCACATTATAATCCCAGGGGGTATATATATGTCTTTATCTGACTTTGGGTTGTTATGTTATACATTTTATGCCTAAGGTGGCTGCGTCCACTGCTTTCACGATGGGAACTTAATCCCGTGCTCGTTTACCTTTGTATGTAAAATTGAAAACTTATTGAATAAAAGAATTTATAAAAACAAAAAGAAGTGAAATCCATGTGATTAATTCGGCATTTGAAATATGGCCTTATTTTCATCCACTGTTAAGGTGGCTTCTAAAGTTGTCAAGTAGACAATTAAAACTTTTTTAATGTTTTAGGTCTTGTTTTACTTGTTTATGCATTTTTGTTAAACCTTGACAAAGTAAAAATTTCCGTAGATGTTTGGTTTCACTTTTTTTCTGTTAATTGAAAATTACAGCTGCAGTTTCATTGATTCATCACTTTGCTCCAGTTTTACACATTTTGCCTTTGTATGTGGAGTGCTTGTCGTTTAAGTGATCCTAGATGCCAATGGCAAATTTAGCAGGATCTGTCAATTTGACAATAACTGACTCATTTGCATACCTATATCATTTATATATATATATATATACAGTATATTTTCAAGGCTTTGTATTTGGTTTTATAAAAACCCTGTTCAGTGTTTATTTAATAACCTGACAATTGCACATAAATGTAAAAAAAGTTTGTAATTAAATCATTTTGCAATACCTTAATTATACAATGCTCCAAATAGACACACTGCCTTTTTAAGGCTGTAGTGTCATCTTCAGGCTGAAGGCTTATTTTGTGATGGAAGCTTCCAGTCCTGCTTGTGTTCACTATTTCATAGCTGACATATTCATCACATGACAAGAATCACTCTTATTGGTACCTGATCGTTAGAGGGGATGGGTCAATGACAGCACAATGTTGGCTGTTATCTGTGAAATGAATGATGTAGAGAAATGCATCCTCAGCAAGGGGCATCATGCAATAGGACATTTTTGGTAAAGACTGTTTCATGTCATTTGATGTGGTTGAGAGAGCTTATCAAATGCACAGTCATTGCCTCCAGGGCCATTCATATTAAAAATGCTTAACTAGGGGGCGCGGCCTGAAGCAGGACCAAGATGGCCGTCTAAACCTTATCCTCCACCACACATGCTCCCTTTCTTTCAGCTTATTGCAAAGCCTCATTTCCTTTCTATCATGGGAAAAGTTGGACGTAACACCCCAGTGGCAAAACCACCCCGGGATTCAGGCACCCAGCTCAGCCACAACCTCCGTGAGCTGTTTCGCCCTCAGCCTACCGAATGACACGTGGGAGCTCCGATGCCATCGGCCTCCACCGACTATTCTCCCTATAGCAGCCCAGATCGGGAGCTTCAAGAAGCCTCATGTCCCGACAGGAGCGATATTCTAGCTCTCATGAACCAGATGCCTGGAATGCCTGATCTTAACTCGATTTTCCAGGATATTAAATCGACATTGTTGATTGCTATCTTTGTTCTGAAGGCGGATGTCCAAGCCTTGGCTTCTCGCAACCACGTCGTGAAAGATATGGTTTCCAACCATGCCTTATCCATAGGACGCCTTCAACAAATGGCCGACTTTCATAACACTCGCCTGATTGAGATGTAACAACACATGGACCTCGACAATGGAGACCACAACTATACACATCAGAGTGAGAGTGGTTCCAGAGGCTGTCGACACCAATCAACTAGAATTTGCTCTACTCCACATCTTTAACAACCTACTTGACCGACCGTCGAAATCTCCGATTGTGTTTGAGTGCTTCCACTGCGCACTGCGGGCCAGAGGTGGCGACACAGACCCACATATGCTGCATAGTGGACTTTCGTTTGAAGGAAAAGATTCTTCGCAGGGCCCAGGAGAGAGCATGCCTACTCTTCCATGAGAGTGAGATTCAGCTATAGAAAGATCTCCCCCACATTACTCTCCAGCAAAGCAAGGCCCTTTGTCCGCTTTTACAGTCTCTCCGCTCCTGGGGTATTCCCTACAGGTGGTGAATTCTATTTGGCCTTGCAGCTTTGAGTGCTGGCCACACTTTTCTCCTTCCATCATGCTCTGAGCTACAGAGCTTCTTTTCTCAACTCCGCATTCCTACTCTGGACCTCCTGGACTGATATGGAGCATTTCACCAAGCTGAGGGTCTTCGGGGATCCTCCTCTTCATCTCCATCTAAACGTCGCAGTCCACCCACACAGGAATGAGCAGATTTAGAGTTCCTGTCTACTCAGATCTATACTCCTGCTCAAGACCTTATGCAAGATCTTCCCCTGCAAGGCTGTCATTCTAGATGCATTTGATGTGATGATTGAATTTCCATCAAAATTCCTTCCACAGTGACTGCTTCCCCCTGGGTCTCTGCTACATCATATTCCACTGTCCCACTGCTCACCATGTTTTTCCTTTCCCTCCTGACCTTCAAGATTTCCTTTGCTCTCAAACAGATCTCAGGTACTGTGTTCTCTTGTTAATTACCTGTTGTTTTTGCCCTAAGTACCACTCCATTTTTTGATCTCCTCCCCCTGATTCCCTTGTACACGTAGCATACCGGAGACTGCCCCATGGATGCTTCCTCCATACACAAATCATCTTATCTTCATTGAACTCTCCTTCTCGACTGTGACACTACGTGGTATCGTACCTGTATTGTTTCCACACATGTTTGCATTGTTATGCTTTTTATACGTATAATGTTGCTCTAGTACCATGTTTTGCTATTCACCAATGGTGTTGTGTACCTCAGTGTTATCCACACTCCTGCACCAATTTTTCTCCCTCCTTTCCTGCTGCCGGCTTTTTATTACCTTACTCTCCATCACACTGGTATAAACGTCACCACTGCCAATTTGCCTGCAGATACACATGCTAATAACATATGTCTTTAGTCAGCATGTTATTACATTTTTAAATGATATGTTTTTGTTTTGCGTTGTTTTAAGAGGCGGTTCCCATCTATTCCCCTTCCATCCTTCCCTTCACCGTAGCCCTCGCTTTTTCCCTGCTCTCTTCTTCCTGCCCCCTTCTTTTCCTTCCCTGTCCTTTATCTATCCCTCCTCCTTTTGCCTCTTCCCTTTTCCCTAATTTCCAGGATGGGTCTTTATATGACTTTTTGGGATTCCCTTCCACCATGTGGTCCATTAGGATTACACATCGCTTGCTCCTGTTTAACACATTGTATTTCACTTAGTTGCCTATTGTGAAACATAATTGTACCCTGCCCCTTTTCTGTTGTGTGGAGCAGTTTTTTTATTGATACTTTGCTATCTGCCAATGGTGCTGTGTACCTCAGTAATGTCTGCATCCTGTATGTGATGCTTCCCCCTTCTATATTAAAACTGGATTTACTAATCTTATTTTCCATTACACTGATGATCACGACACCACTGCAACTTTAATTGCCAAGCCTTCTTTCGACAATGCATACCCTCAGTTACCAAGTTGATATTTTTAGAAATGCAATGTTTGTGTTTGATGAGGTTAATCCCACCCTTCATCTCTTTCTCCTTTTTTTCCATCATTTGTGCCTCCCTGTCTCCCCCCCCCTCTCTTTTCCAATCCCTTCCTTCTCTCGTTCTCTTCTTTCCTCCCTTCCCCTTTTCCCTACTACTTCTCCTCCTCGCTTCCCTTTTTCCTGGATCTCCAAAATAACTCCTTGTACCACCTCACGACATTTCCCTTCACTATGCTGTTCTTTAGGATCACACAGCGATTGCTTATGCTTAGCACTTTATTTTTTTTATTCTTTATTTTATAAAACAGGAATATCCATACAAGAATATAGCACATCTGTAGCAATACATTTCAAGCAATGCACATAGTGCCAATTCAGATAACAGGCAAAAGCTCTATCGCATGGATCCTGTAACTTTTACAAAAGTATACATAAAAGGGAACACGTAAAAACATTAGGGGTAGGTATAGACATGTATGGTCCTCCCGTCTCTTGCCAAAGGCCATAGAGCATTTGTGTACCAGAACAGAGATAGGTGTTGTAGACATGACTATTCGTTCTGCTCGAGATGGGTCAGCTACGTGGGTGCTTCAGCCTATCATCATCTGAATGTTCAAGTATGGGGGGGTTTACATAATGGTTCATGACAGTAGGGATCTACAGATGATAGATGATAAGCCCGTAGCATCCCGTACTTAGTTAACTGTCAGCACGGAAATATGAGACACCTAACTAAACAGTTGAGGTAACATGGTCACAAGAGACCAACATAGAACAGGATCTGGAGAGTC